GGCGGCGGGAGGCTCCCTCAGATGCCCCGGTGACGTTAACCGTGGCTCCTTAGCGAAGCACGGAGCCCCCTTTGTGACAGGCCTCGCAGGAGGCGCCTGCAGCAAAGGGGCTTTGTGGCGAGAGCTGCCTCTCCTGCTTCAAACGCCTCTCTCCTGCCGCTCAGGCTTCGGAGATCGACGAGCGGCGGATTCAGAGCTGCGTCCATTTCATGACCCTGAAGAAGCTCAACCGGCTGGCTCATATTCGGCTGAAGAAAGGGAGAGATCAAACCCACGAGGTACAGAGGGGGCTGGGGTGGGGGGGGTGACGAATACAGGTCAGGGTTCAGCGGGATCAGAGATGGTGCCGTTTCTGCCTGTTCTGCGTATGGACGCGTAGGAGGAATTAAACACCAGCCAGGCGGCGGTTTTTGAATTGGAGCTTTGTCAGGAGACTCCACTGCGGCGCAGCGGAAGCTGTAATTGTAACGGATGGTGAAGGGGCGGCATCTGCTTCTGCCTCAAATGTAACGGGGGAGTCAGAAAGCTCTGCCTCAAGAGTCTGCTGTGCTGCAGGCCTGAGAAATGTGTATACGGTTGGCCCCCAAGCTCCTTACCCGGTCTTCCCGGAGAGCTTTTCACAGCTAGTGAACAGCGCTCGTTTTCGTTGTGCCACTGAGGAAGGTGAGGCGCGGGGACGGGAGGGGACTCGGCCCGTGTGCCCCGGCAGGTCTGCCCTCTTCTGCCCCTGAAACGTGCTGGAAGGGAGCAAAATCAGTTTGGTGTCACAATCGTTCGGTTTCCCAGCCCTTGAAAATGTCTTTTTTCCCCCCCCAAAAGAACTGTTGCGTGCCCTAAAACCCACCGTCCCTAGCTCGTATGGTGAGGGGGGGGGTGTTGGTGACTCTCGTGCGGGGCGTGTCTGCTGGGAGGAAGGTAGCAGAGCTTCATCCCCTGCTCTGGCCGTGTCTGCGTTTCAGGCAAAGCAGAAGGTGGACGCGTATCACCTGCAGCTCCAGAACTTGCTCTACGAGGTGATGCACCTGCAGAAAGAGATCACCAAATGCCTGGAGTTCAAGTGAGTTTGGCCGGGGAGGAGAGGGACTGACGGCGTGTCCGAGGTGGGGCGGAGGCCTCGGGACGTTTGGAATCTCTTGACGCGTCGCCTGAGCCCGCTGTGGGAGGGGAGCGGGTGCCCCAGCTGCCGCCACGCGGGAGAGACGGAGTGTCCCAGAGCTCTTCTGCTGGGACACGGGGGAAGGGGCTCGCGTAGGGAGGAGGGAAGAAGGCATCTATTTTGATAGCTGGACAGCGGAGGAGAAAAGAGGTAAATGTCCAAGACGTGGCCACGCTGGTCTCAAGGGCTCTCTGGCCTCTGTATATCGGGAGTTTTCTTCCGAAAGCCGAGCGTTCCGTCGTGCCCGTCGCACAGGCGGCGCTCTGAGCTGCTGCCAGGAGGGCTGTATTTGGACTGATGCCTTCAAACAGTGCTTCGGTTAACC